CAGAGACAAAAGCAAAAAAAACCAGAGAGATTTAGGAAAGGGACAAAGTGAGAGAAAAACTAACTGGAAATGGATCTGAAAGTACTGCAAAGGAAAGACAGAAAGGAAGATAAGTATTAAATAAGGAACAAAAGTGATGCAACCTGAGAAAAATATATTAGGATGTTTCTGCGAGTGCTGCATTTTGCCTGATAGGAAACATGGCCCCAAATAACTGAGTAAAAGATGAGAGAAGGCCTGGTGGTTATTCAGTATAATTTTTCAGGGTGAGAGAATAGGTGAGGCATAGTTTTGGGGGGAGGAATCTGGTGACTGGATGTTTTATGTGGAGTGGGAAAATACACTGGCTGTATTTCATGTGTATTTACAATCTTGCCGCTAGATTTTTGAATATTTTTACATACATTAATGTGTGTGATGTGGCTGTGGAGTTCATGGTTTTATACTAAAGGTGCGTATCGACCAAATCACGTAAAAACATCAGTCCTGGTAGAAAAGCAGAGCAGACAAAGCAGTCTTGTCATGTCTGTTGAGCACTCTGCAGAGGTGAAAGCAGAAGGTGGCACAGCAATGGCAGCTTAATTGTAATTTGGCTAGGGCTTGTCTACATGTGGAAATTTTCAGTACTAGCTTTCCAGATGACAAGTTTGGGCTTAATGTTTTGCACCATGAGTAATTCAGTTTAGTCCATTTTGGAGGTGGATTAAAATAAATCACACAAAGGCAGCAGCAACAGAGAATAATTCGCTTTGAGGTGAGGGAAGTGCGTGAGTGAAAAACAACTGTTTTGCTTTAAAAATCCACCCTCAAACTGATTTTATAACAGCTTCCCTGTGTAGAGAAGCCTTTAGTTCCCTTGCAGTGCTGGGAGCCCACATCAGGCTTACGCACTAAGCGAGCCATTGCTGTGGAGGCAGAGTTGCGTAAAACTTCAAGCAAGCTGTGAGCCTTGCAAGGCCCTCCTCTCATCTCCAATTTGAGGAAAGAAATCACAGTGTTATTTCTTTCCTCATTTTTGTTTCGAATGCTTTAATCTGCCCCAGGGTCCCCTGCCACCTGCATTTCACAGCACGCCAGGAGGAGGATCCCTGGGCCATTCTCCTCCATTTTTTTGTGCATCTCTCCACAGCCTCCTTGTGTTGGCATGGCTGGAAAAAGATCTGAGTAGGTGTAATAACGGATTGCTGCCCTAAATCACAAAGAGCAGAAGCCCTTACCTCTGGGCTGGAGTAATGCGAGGGCTTGCTGCCGTCACTCTCGCTGGAGCTGCTTTCGCTCTCTGAGTCAGACTCTGAGCTGGTCTCGGATTCACTGGAGCTGCTGCTGCTCGACCCCTTGCTGGAGAGTCCCGAGGCTCGGGCGTTGGACTGCGGCACCACCAGGCTGCCAGCCCCACACACAGCCCATCGGGGAGGGGAGAGGGAAGAGAAGAAAACAAGAACATAAAAAACCCCATGTAAAAACCGTGGTGTTTTAGGGAGCATACCTATCTGAATGCCCGTGAGCTTGTCTCTGCTGCTAACAAATGGTGATGTGAGATCAACACTGCATTGCTGTAACTGGGGGAGAGAAACATCGGGTTATCCTCATATCCATTTAAATCCATAGCCTTTGGCATCTCTGCTTCAGCTGAGGGAGGATAAAGTTTTCACTTCAGCTTGTCTGTTTTCTCGTGCAACAGATATTTTTAGGATATATTAAAAATAGCAAATGTTGAAAAGCAGAGTAGAGAAAGCAGTTGTAGGCTGTCTAATGAACACTACACAGAGGTGAAAGCAGGAGATGAAAAAGGCAAACAGTTAAGAAACAGAGTTGAACTCCACCGTGCCAGTTATTTGTAAGTAGTAATAGTAATAATGATACTAATAACAATAATAATACATCCTCACTGGAGCTTCCGACCCCCATCTTTTGTTCTGCACACTTCTTCACCTACCCGTAAACGGTGTGGTTACCTGGATATACCATCGATATCGACAACTGCAAGATGTAAGACTCTGATCCTGCAAAAACTTTAAGAGCTCAGGCTTGTGTTTTTGCATGTCAGCAGTGTAGTTCTGTCAGCAGAGCTACCTGCCGTCTTAAAAGTTATGTCTGCATGCAAGTGTTCATATTATCAGGCCTGACAGCAGAAGAAATGTATACTCTCCTGAAATAGTTGACCATGCATATTAAAAATATCGCAGTCGTAAAGACTTGAGTGTGAAATGTCCTATTAAGTCATCTAGCTTATTCCCCAGGCAATGGAAGATTGTTCCCTATAGCAGGGTGCATTTGCTAGTGAGTTGTCCAATTTGATTTTAAATGACTTGAATGCAGCTTTTACTTTTACCCCTGGGAAACTTCTCTGCAAACTAACCCAAATTCCACTGTCAGAAATTTCTCCCTACATTCAACCTGAAGTTGCCCTTTCCAAATTTATTGTTGTTACTTATTATTTCATCCCATTACTAATAGTTACTATGATAAATTATCCTCCTCCCTTTTTGCTTTCACGTATTTGCAGACTGTTTTCCTGTCCTACTTCAGTCATCTTTCAGACAAGGCCTTACACATTTACTTCTTCTGATCTTTCTTCATAAGTCATTATCTCCAGGGATATGGGATCATTTTTATGGCTCTTTTCTGAACTCATTCCAATTTGTCTATATCTCTGTGATAACAGGATGCCCAAAACAGAGTGCAGCATTATAGATGGGTTCTCACTAGAGCCCTACAGTGAAGGGCTATTACCTTCCTGCTCCTTGATGCGTTGATTCTGCAAACATATACCCCAGCTGTGATGGCATATATAGTCCATTAACACTCCTACATCTCTTTCAACACTGCTTTCTCCAGAATTCCTCCACTGATAGCTACATTTTAGATTATTTGCTTCCAGAGAGATTGGCTTGCATTTTTTCTTCATACCGGATCTAATTTTCTTCTTTACCGCACATGCTTCTAGCTGCTTTTGATTTATTTCTCTGCCCTCTGAGGCGTCTGCAGCAACTTCTAATTTAGTATCAAATGCAAACTTAATTAAATGATTATTTACTTCCTTTTTCAGATCATTAATGAGATTGTTAAATAAACCCCACAAGAAACACACTGGTACCCTAATAACTATCTCTTCCCAACTCCGTTCACCAGTATTTATTATTACCCTTGTTTATGCTCCATCAGTCCAATATTGTGGCTAATGCAATGTGATCTCAGAGATGCGTTTTGTGAGAAATAATATCTAATAATTAATTACAGTTCTGCTATGTTGCACCTAATGAATTGTCTTTACCTGCTAACGGTGCATTTCATTCTGGAAAAATGGTACCTGACACCTGACACAAGCCACATACGACAGGCAGCTTCTGGGGCTTTGAAAAGAGGCCAGGCCGTCAGAGATGCAGTGTCAATTCCATGGTTCCCCACAGCCGCATGCTGCCTGGCCCTCTCCCCGCCTCCCCTAACATATGCCAAGCTTTCCCCACTGGACCACCTGCCTTGCACAAGCCAGTACTCCCACCACATCGCCTTTACTTATAGCGTCTCACTTGCCTCTTGCTAGGAAACAGCACAGCTGCCCATGGCTTTCTTGTTCCAGAGAATTTCTGGTTGCTTGGGCAATGGTGCCACTGTTGGAGAGCTTTCTGCACCCTTCAAGGCACAGCGGGGCCAGGCAGTGCACAAAACCTCACCTGTGATCTCACCGTACTAATTAAAGCAAGTAAAATAAACAGGAGAGGGAGGAGCTGACATCCATTTACATTTCTGACCTTCATTTTCATCCTTGTAACCATCAGACGGGAGAGAGAGGCAACAGTAAAAGCTCATGCTCCGGCAGGACGGCTCAGTGCTACACGTGTGTTCGCCGAAGCGCCTGCCAACTCTTAGGAGGCAAGAGATCTGTCACCATGCACAGGTGTTAAATGTACCAATTACAATGTGTGCCTTTAAAAACTCATCCTCTGCTATGTTTTGTTATTATTCATGATGTCTCTTTATCTAGCCAGGTAGGTGTGGTAAATGCAAGATTTTCAGGCACTCATTTGTATAACAGCATTAAGGCACAGAGGTGCCTGAAACAGAAACAGCTTACAAGCTTGTAAAAATTTTCGTTCCCAGAGAAGGAAAATTGATGTTTTGTGCAGTGCTTTGGGACAAAGCAGTTTTCCACTTGTACGGGTTGCCCAGTAAACTCTAGGTACAAGTTGCCCACTTATATTAACATATTACAGTCAATCCCTTGCTAATAAAATAGTGAGGGCTATATAAAGGCCATTGTGAGTAGGTTTTCTGGTTTTGATTTTTTTTCTTCTTTTTTTTTTTCTTACGGGAATATGAAAAGGTAACTGCCTTTTCTGACAGCATAGCTTAGGGAATTCTTTTGACAGTGTCCAACTCTGATGGATTTCCAGTCCTCTCCACAACAGCATTGTGACTGTTGCCTGAAAAGTTCTTCAACATCACAAAACATCTGCACATTTATGTCCTGCCCCTAGTGACTGTGGTTTTAATTTTTAAACCCATCATTTTTGTTTGGCATTGACTGAAGTATTCAGAATTGCTATATAGGGGATGAGGGAGGAAAAAACCCCACAGTAATATTTCTTTCCTGTTGTGACATGAAATGTTTTTCTAGGCTGCTGAACAGAAATTGTTACTACAGCCATAGATATAAAATATAACTGTTGGACTCTTCACAAACATCTGGAAATCTATGTTTGCTGCTCTAATGGTAGCAAATACACTACAAAAAATTAACATTACAATATTTTCCCACTTATGCTGATACAGTTGAAGTCTCCTGTCCCCCTTCTACCTTTTCAATTTTCAAGTATAGCATATTCTTATAAGGATCCTCATTATATTATAGTGACCAGAGTGAAAACAGTTATATGTTTCTTCATATATTCTTATTAAAGAACAACTATTATTTTAAACTGACGACTTCCATTTTGGACTCTTCTTTCTAAAGCATGTAAGCAAGTTCATGCAATCAAAATAAAAGACCAATTTACATTTTAATGACTGTGGCACATAACATTCATGCATATTTTGCTACTGGCTTATGCCCCAGAATTAATTACTACATCATTGAAAGGATATTTTTATTTTAAGCAATTAAACAACAATTTGGGTAAGCACCACTTTTCTTTAAAGCCCTTGATCAGAACATGCGCTCTCTAACTTAAGGAAGAGAGTAAATACCTTGTAAAGTTGCCAGAAGTTGAGTAATAAGATCACTGAATAACCAACACACCATCTGAAGTTTCTAATCTGATGAAGGGATGGGGCTTGGGCACCTAAGCACTGTGCAAGTCTCCAGCAACCTATTTTCCTGCACTGCCTAGTGGACAAGTCACCCCTTTCTGAAAAACTGCTAGGCACCTTGTAGTCTCAATTTTACTCAGATGAGCAGGTTCAGAAACCCAGTGATTTGAAGAAATTAATACTTCTTCCCCACTCAAACTAATTTGTGATCCAAGTTGAGAGGTGGAGCCATCTCAATCCTGGGAGAAGCCTGAGAGATTTGTTGTGGTGGGACCAGTTATTAGCTCCATCAGACTGCATGGCCACAGCCAGCCTCTGAACAACACCAAGGAAGGTGCAGGCGTTTGCTTTCAGTCAGCGAAGAGAGATTGCCAAATCAGATTGCCTCAGTGGCCCTCAGGAGACCTCTTGAGGTTAATCACGCTGGATCTGCGTCCTACTCTACGCTTCATATTAAGCTGCTGCTTACAGTTGCACTACTTTCGATGATAATAAATCATGGCGTTCAGCACTGGCCACAAGAAGTTCCCGGGCAGCTAAGCATATGCTGCACTGCAGGAATTCAGCCTCAGTGTTTCAAAGACAGACAGCATGGACGCCTGATCAAGGTACAAATAAAACAGATGCCGGTCTTTACCAAAGTTCAACCATTTGGTAACAATATTAAATGGATTCAAAAGAGAAAAATTCCTCCCACACTGAAGAATTTGTGATCCCAGTTCTTCACTGCTTTGTAATACAAAGACACTTTATACCTGCTTTACACAGGTATGAATCATTATCAAGAACGCAAAGCAAGGGAGACTCAGGCCTTGAAGGAAAGACTGTGCCAAGAAAACAAATCAGAGTGAGCCTCTGTAATACTCTTCCAGCCACAACAAAGGCTGCACAAATGCTCAAACTTCATATTTTGGAGTCCAGCTGGTCTGTGTAATTTCACTTTGCAAGAACTGTATCCAGAGCCGCCTTATCAAAAAACTCAGTCACACTATCAGACATGATCTGCTGTACTTGTTTTCATGTCTGGAGATGGGACAATATTCAGCCAGTGTCATTTGCATAGCTGTGATCATCTAAACTACTTTTCTTTTAAATCTTACCCTGCGGTACCATCCATCAAGCACTACCAAGTG